ATGCTTTTTTATAATAATTGAGCATGGAATCTGGAAGTGTACAGACACGATTGATTCCGGAGCAAGTTTCGCAGTGATTTTGCGTCCCAGGGTGACCTACGATGTGCCAAACGTCTAAAGCACCATGCCGTGTTTGAATGATGTTTCTTAACTGATACCGAAATCGTTGCTTAGATTATCGTGGGAAAAAGTTAAACATTGTTAAGGGTATTAAGTAGACATGTGTATAAGTTTAACGCCACCGTTGCCGGTCCCAAGCCCGGATGAGGAAAAAGGAAGGTTGGACACGGTGGTGAGGTCGCCGTCAAACTTAGCCACTTGCTCTTCACGGTACTGCAGTCATCGATAATTATACCAGCTCGGTCGTCGCCCGGGTTACCAAGGGCCGAGCAGTCTCTTGGGGGACTGAGTCAGGCTGCGTAAAAACGGCGACCCTTCTAGCAGCCGCGTGAGGTGAAGCACAACCAAGAAGCTACCAATCAGCAACGAAGTCACTACCAATTCTGAACGTAGGAAGCAGACAGTGTGATGTCATTAGAGCGCGTCAGAAAAGGCTCCATCACAACGACACGGACAGTGGGTGCTTACGATTAAAAGTTGGCACATATCCTCATTTAGAAAGAAAGAGCAGGAACTGGTTGACAAGGCCATGAGGTACCAACTCGACAAAGCTGGACTCTCGTCAACGAAACGCCAAGGCTATGGAATTCTAAAACTCTGCGGCTGGAAAACTATTCTACTCAGGTATCGGCATAACAGCATGCACTCCGACCGGTGTTGGTGTTCTGCGGGAACTTGTTAGCGGAGAAATGACAATCTTTCACGTGTGGCTACAACAGGCTGAATCTTCGACCTTGTTACAAGCTTATGTACCCAAATTGGAGGTGGAATAGGAGCCATTCTTAGTACAACTTAAAAATGTCCTCTACGAACTATCAGTAACGAAGCCCCTCACCCTAATGGGCGATTTCAGTGAGCAGATTGGAGTTGACACTTGAAAGTGGAAATGTGTGATTTCTTAGAAGTGAGAAAAGACGGCCGTAGTAACCTCAACAATGACGACAGTTACTGCGGGTTTGTGCAAACAACGGATTGTCCATTATGAAACCTTCTTCGACCATCGGACAGTACATCAGTACGCTTGGTACAAGGAAAATTGTACACAGAATTCGACGATCGAAATAATATTCATATCGTTTGACTTGCGATGCTTTACAATGGATGTTTGCGTTAAAAGAGGCACGGTACTGTCAATCGATCACCAGCTGATTGTTGGCACGCTGCGCTGTAAGAAATGGAGTACCATACGAAGATCTGGTGGCAGAAACAACCGAAGAATCAAACGGGATACATCGCACGACTGTTTGGTCAGTTTCCGGTGATGAAACTGGTGTGTAAACCGATTGGCAGCTCTTTCGGAGTGACATACTCAAGTCTGCCACCGAATGCTGCGAATATAAATGGGTTGACTTACCACCTGGAGGTCAGAAAAGATCTTTCTGTTGGACACGAGAGTTACAATTGGCTATCATAGAGAAGGCTGCACTTAAAAGACGGCTGTCTGACGGGAAGATATTCTCTCGTAAGCTGTGCGCCGCCTACTAGGAGAAAAGAAAGGCAGCATAAGAGTCCCTGAAGAGAATGTCTGAATACCTTCTTATCGAGGATGAGGATATTTCTTGGTGATTTAGACAGTACTTTGGGTGACTGATTAACTCAGCGTGACCGCACGGAAGAATCGGCTCAAAATGAGCTGAAAACAGGCATACTATTTGTGTAGACGAAGTTACACAAGCTGTGATAAGCTGCTGTAATTCATGAAATTCGCCATGCAGTACTTAAACCATTTGGCTGACAGTTGATGTACTTACTTGCACGTGTCTGTCAAACTGTAATGGCTAAGGTAAGGACACCAGCTGATTCGAGAACTGGGACTGTAGTACCCCTGTTGAAGAGCGGAGAGTACGAGGAATGTTCCAATTATCCGTACATTATATTATTGAGCCTCCCATATAAAGTCTTCGCAATGGTGCTAGAAAGGAGGTGCCACGGAATAACTGGCTCCAAAGTGCAAGAAGAATTCCGGTTCGACCGAAACACATCTGACCAGGTATTCGCCCTACGCCAGATTGTTGTTATAACATAGGAGTTCCTTCG